CCCTCTCCCTCTCTTTTTTCTCCCTCAATCTCTCTCTTCCTATCTTGCTTTAACTCAAAGTCACAATCAACAAAATTGATCTACCATAAACTAAAATAACACTTAATAAAAAAAATTTAGATCTAACAAAATGATTTCAATATTACAACTTTGCTTACTACCTAAATCATCCAAAATATCTCTAACACTTTCAAATGTGTAGTGAGAACAAATAATTAAAGAAAAAACATAAAAAATAACCTTAAAATAGAAATCAGACGGTTTGGGGTCGGACTAGGTCGGCGGTCGGATTGGGGTCAGCGGTCGGAGTAGATTCGTCGGTGGCGGTTGGACTAGCGGAGGCAAGCGTAGGCGACGGCAGAGCGACCGAGAGAGAGAAGGAAAGAGTAAAAATGAAATGCGAGGCACGGGTCTGGTCGTATTAGGGCTTCTACCGGCGGCTTTCCGGCGATCTGGACCGCTGGTAAAAAATCACTTATCAACGACGGTCCAAGCCGCCAGTAAACCGCCGGTTCATATTGATGTCCGGCGGTTTAACGTCGGTTTAGGGACCGCCAATAGTACCGGCGGCTTAATGTAGCAAAATCATCGGTTAGGCCGCCGTTAAAAGCTGGCGGTCACACCGCCGGCTATGCCGCCGGTCCATGAACCGCCGGTTAGAACCGCCGGTAATGGGCATTTTTCCTGTAGTGTATGATTGAAAGTATTATTATATTAATGTGATATTACTGTGTGTGTGTGAAAGATAAGTAAAGACTAGTTGAACTGTTGGTTGGAGACTGATTGACCTGTACAGGATGGTGGGCCGACGGGCTTTCCTTTAAATATGGTTTGGTGTTATCCTCTGCTGATCACGTGATTGCTGATTGAAGTTATAAGGAGATGATTACTGTGCCGATGAGAAAAGAGTGACGACTCTGTTTACTAAGCCGACGGATATAAAGAAACTGATACTGGTTCAAGACTAAAAATACTATAATAGCCATAGCTTTTACTTGTTGAGTATGATTACTACATTGAATTGCATGTTTTAAAGCATTGTTCTTATCGTTATTGTACATATTTATTGATATTGTATGGATTTATTGTTACTGCATGATTTTACTATTATAGAATTATTGTTCATGACACTGGATTATTACTGATTCTGATACAGGTACTGATACTACTAATTCACTATACTGACATTATGCATGTGATATACTGAGCAAGTGACATGTGATTCACTGAACATGTGATATAGATTTCTGGATTGCATGTGATACACTGAGCACTGATATTGAATAACTTGAATTGCAAGTGTACGTTTTGATATGATTTTACTACATTAGTTTGATTTCAACAGTTACGAACGATAGTATTAATTTGACATTTTATACCAACTGATATTATTGAATTGATGATTCCTCTGTATATGATTGATACTATTGATACGATGATTTATTGATTGATTTGATTGATATTACTGATATGAGGATTTATTTAATGATTTGACTGATATTTTAGATATGATAATTTCCCTACTGAATTAACTAATGTTATAGATACGATGACTACTATTGAGATTTGACGCACGTATTGGTTCATTGAACTTTATGGATTTTTCTATTATTGACTGATTCTATCATTGATGATTGTGGATTTAACTGTTTCTGTATTGACTATCATTTTTGTACTGATTACTATTTATGCATTAATTTTTGTTCAGCATTGACTCAATGATTATGTGTAAGTGATAGCTATGATTTGACTGATTGACATGCATATTACTTCTGTACCGTGCTTTGATTTCAATTATAGATTTTTGGTGTCATGCTGGACTTTTTAAGCTCATTATATGTGGTTAATGATTTTCAGGTCATGGCAATGGAGCAGGAGTGTGAGATTGATCAGGAATATTCATATTTTTGTTCTTTTGTCATAGCTATTCTTTTTGTACTAAAGACTAGTTGGATTAGTAATTTTGTTGAAGTTCTTGAGTAATATAAATGAACTTTTGGGTAATAAATATAAATATTTACATGATGTTTAAATTATAGATTTTTTTAGATTGTTTGTCATTGATATATGACTATAGATAGATCTGGTAGTTGATTGACTTAAAGGATTAACTAAATAATTCTTTTAAGTTAAATCTTATGGTGTCACATATAGGATGATCGATCGATCGTATTGGATGATATTTAATGATATAATTGAATTTTTAGGATTTTTGAAGCCTTCTATTTAAGCTTTATCTAAAAACATTATAAGTGTCTTTGGCAGCCATTATGTCTTTGTTCTTCTGAAAAAAAAACTTGAATATAGAACTTAAAAGAGAGAGAGGAAATGATGGAGTTTAAGAGGGAGAAGATCCTTAGAGGGGTTTTCAATGAAGTGTGTAGGAGATTTCACACGGTTTCTCCGGCAAGCTTGCACTTTAGTACCATTGGATTTAAGGTTTTTCTTGAGGAATTTTTTGGGATTTCTTTGGTGTCAAATGATCCCTATACTTCACCGCACTGGGGAAGGTGAAAGAGATTCGTGGTTCTCTGCAATCTCTTGGAGGGAGAAAAAAGAGTTAATGTTCTCTGCCTGTGAAACAAGTTTTGGTCCTCTACTGCAACGGGTTGGTGGAAAAATTTTATAAGGGCTTCTCCATCTTACTGTGTGGGCAAAAGGAGAGAAATTAAAAGATTTTAGTGTAATACCCTGAGGGTTCTTTCGGGGAGTGGATATAGGTTAGGTTGGACCGAACCATTATAGATCTGGTGTTTTCTTTTTAATTTTATTTTTTTCGCACTTTATTTTCTAAATTTATTTTTTGATATAATTATTTAGTTAAAAATATGTGATTGATATTACGTTGTATTGATTTTTTTTTTTAGATATTGAAAAAACTTTAAGAAGATAATTTTTCTTTTTTTTGAAAGAAAATTTTTAACACATCCAATTCATCAACTCTCTTGGTTAACATCGGGACTAATTCTTAAGGGTTTAACACTCCTCGTGAACTTTCAAGTTGTATCAGAGCGAGATTCAAAAATAGAGTTATAAAAAACCTTTGGAAAAATGATCAATGGCTAATTTTAGAGATTGTAATATTATGAAACGATATTTAACTATGCAACCACCTTTATTTAAAAATATTTCTTTTAATTTTTAGAAAATTTGTATGTCTACTTTGTTGAAATCAATTGATTATCGAATATTATATATGATTAAAACTAATTATTCCATATAATCATAGAATTGAACTTTTAAAATTAAATCATTTTTATCATTCTATATTTCTTCTATCTCATAGGAATCTTTCACAAGCTGATGAATCCACATTATAATTTTCTTAATTAAGCTGTTTATTTACTGAATAGAGTATAATAGAATTAAATACTTAATTGAATGTTAAATGCTTGAATTATTTTTTATGTGCTTTGAATTCTTAAGATTGTATGTTGAAATCCACATGCACTACTGATATGAAAATTTAGGATAAATTATTCA